CCCCATAATTAATACACCCCCCCACAATTAATACACCCCCCCATGATTAATATACACCCCCCAATAATTAATTCACCTTTTAATTAATTAAATAACATTACATAAATTACATAAACAACACATAAATTACTACTCACGTTTTGATGATGCCTTCCCTCCGAGACCGACCACTGGATCCTTGCGCTGAAGATCCGTGAAGGCGGACTGACGGCGGCGCTGCGTACGGCGTCATCACGCCGCGTCCGCATCCCAAAGACTCCTCCCTCTTCTCAAAGATGCGGCTGAGGCTGAGCGCAGCGTGATGATTGGGGCCGGGGGGGTGACACATGACACTTGAAGTCATGGCACCCCCCTGGACAGTGGCACCCGGGGCGGGCCGCCCCCCCCGCCCCCCCCTTAGTACGCCACTGATGGTGGGAAAGTAGCAGAACTGGGGGTGAGAGTGGAGTGTGGCCTTATAGGAGAGAGCAAGAGGAAGGTTTGACAGATATAAGTTACTCTTGGAGGCCATAAGCAATCCTGAAAGGATGGGTTTTGAGGGACTTCTTAAAGGATTGAAGACTAGGGTCTGACAGGGGTAGGCAGGCTGTTCCAAAGGAAAGGAGCCGCCCGTCAGAAGTCTTGCAGGTGTGACTTTACAGTAAGGGTGCGAACAGCAGACAGGAGAAGATCACCAGTAGAGTGGAGAGACCGAGGGGGGACATACCTATGAATCAGTGAGGAAATGTAAGAGGGGCAAGAGTTGGTTAGAGATATATAGGTAAGGGTTAGTATTTTAAATTGACACCTGTCAGGGACAGGAAACCAGTGTAAGGATTGACACAGGGGTGAGGTGTGAGAGGAGCGACAAGAGAGAAAGAACAGCCTGGCAGCAGCATTCATCACAGATTGTAGGGGGGCAGTACGGCTTCTGGGGAGGCCAATTAGGAGAGAATTACAAAAATCCATGCGAGAGATTACTAGAACGTGAACAAGCTCATTGGCAGCATCTTGCATAAGAAAGGGGCATATGCGGGCAATGTTTTTAAGTTGGAATCGATAGGTTTTAGCAACAGACTGGACATGAGGTGCAAAGGTGAGGCCAGGATCAAAAATGACACAAAGACAACCAGCTTGCTAGGGTGGGGTGACACAGGTTCCGTCAACCTGCAGGGAGAGTGAAGGAGGAGGATCAGTGTTATGAAGAGGAAAAATAAGAAACTCGGTGTGGAGAACCAGCCACCTATTTGGATTATGTGCCTTTCTTTTAAATCATAAACTTATCTGCTATGGCAATTGGGGTCCACCGAACAAGTTATAACTGAATTGTTTGTATACCGAACAGTTAGACCACACGGGGGAGTCGTGTGCTGCCAATTGACCCTATTAACCCCCTTCACACTTAGAAACCGCAACGTTCTAGGCGGTCGGCTGGGTGGTCGTCGTTCGTATGAACGAACACGTGGCGCCGGCCATCTTTAGCCGTGAACACGTTTGGTTAATGAGTGCATGAAACTATAATCAGACACTTGATGCGCGAACACTGCTGGGAATTCCACCTCTACGTGTGCTTGGTTCCATTCACCTGAAAAGAGCTGCATTCGTTAGGAAGCAAACTCCCGAACAAGGGGCACACAACCAACGGATATACGAACTGTTACATTTGTTATTTTATTTGCTTTTCGTACTCCCAAAAGAGACCGACCACTCCGCCTGAATTCATGGAAATCTTTTGGGCAGGAGCCTCGTGTGCAGTTGGTCTAAACTATACCCCAGTGGCATTTCGGCTGTGTTCGTGGGATGTGAGTGTTTTCAGGATATGTTGGGTGCTCAGATCAAGGTACCTGGAAAATAGTACTTGAGGGGGTATTTTATTGTTAGAGGGGTGGTTTGGAGTGTTTATTCATGTACATGTCCTGGACCTGAGAGGTAATGTAATTATGTTGTGTATTTTGTCACTGTCCCCTCTCAGGTCCAGTGGGGAATATCCCTGGAATGTGTTACAGTAAACACCTTGCATGGGGACACACATAAAAGGCAGTGTGTGGCACCCATTAAACTTTTGACTCCCAGAACTGTGCATCGTCCGGTTACTGGGGGAATTGGGATTATACTACTGTTCTACAGACTACCAGCGGAGATATTGGTTTTATTATTGCAGCTCCGCAACTCTCAGTTTTAGAGAGATTGAACTTCAGAGATAGAAGAAAGGCAATTGGTGACACGTTTTAGGACAGCATGGGAGAGGTCAGGGAAGGAGAGATATATCTGGGAGTTGTCAGCGTACAGGTGGTGGTGGAATCCAAATTAATTAATGAGTTTGCCAAGAGAGGCAGTATAGAGAGAGAGCAAAAGGAGACCAAGAACTGAACCTTGAGGAATTCCAACTGAAACAGGACAAGTAGAGGAGGTGCTGTTGGAAAAAGAGATGGTAGATTTAGAAGAAGGGGCCATGATGAACAGTGTTAAAGGCAGCAGAGAACAAATTCCTTTTTTTTTTCTATGGTTTTTTTTTGGATGTCCTGACTCCTTGACCTGACTTCATGTCAAGGAGAAAGTTTGAACTTAAACATTAGTTCTCCTGTGGGCCACTATGGCCAAATAAGGTCCAGCTCCACTCCACTCCAATGAATAACCTTAATAAAATGTGTTCCTGCCCGATGGCCAACAATTTACTTCCTCCATAATTATAACAAAACGTATTAGATGACCCAATACGAGACCTCAATGTACAACATGGCAGCAGAAATATATCATTAATGTATAAAATGGATCATTTTCTAATTCATCTAAGAGATGCTTAGCAGCGACAATTTTAATGATTACAAGGCAAAATATTATGTGAACCAATGGTGTGGAAGTAACATTTACCTTAATAAGATAGAAAAGATCATAAAAACACGAGGATTAAGAGTCTTTATACTGTCCTTAAATGAGCTTATTATGTGAGTCTCTAGTAAATTTCAGATTTGAAGAATTCTGCTGTGGCTCCGAGTGCTTACATGCCTGAACAAAACTCGCACTTTTTACTTTCCCATAAATAACACATGATCTGAATAAGAATAACATTTGTAGGAACAATTTAGAAGCCATGGTGTAGCTGTTGATCTCCTCTTTAATTCTAGGATTTAGTACCTGAATCTTAGGTTTTATAAAAAAAATAAAAAAAATAACATATTGCACAACGGAAAACAATGTAGCCCGCAGCACTTGTCACATGTCTCTTCAGCAGAATCTCTCCGAGCGTGGTTCATTAAAAGGTCAGACTAAGAACGAAAGAAAATCAGGTACAAGAATAATAGGGGCCTCTTGTCAGTTAATGTGAATAACAAGTCATTCGATGAGATCAACGTAGGGATCAACAATGATAACTAACTTGGTTGTGATGCTATTGAAAAAAATTACCATGGTTCATCCGCTGAGTTCCAAGTTAATTTAAGAAATTATTTATTTCGACACCATAGCATTCCGTTGTGTGGAGCTTCATTTGGTCGAAGTGGGGTGTGTTATTATGTATACTACTTCAGGGAGATACTGTGGCTCACACTGCATGGGCAGCTGCAAAAAGATAACTCCTGATGTGGGTATTTAAAGAACCGCTCCAATCAACATAATCACTACAAAACTCTGTTGTGGTTGTGGTGCTAGAATGCCCTGGTATTCTGGCCCGTGCAGGAGAAACCTAGAGGCAAAGTATGTGTTTGAGGGAGGATAAGTGGGCAAGTAATTTGTTAAGTCATTCTATGATGTTTTCATATACTGCACTGGAATGGACCCAGGTCACACCTGGCACCATAACCACTTCAGCTGGCTGTAATGTAATAAATTCCAGAAAAGTGGCAGTTTCCTCTTTAACTTTCTTAGACCTTAGAATGGAGGTCAACCAGAGCATGGGAGGTCTTCAATGGGAACATTTCTGGTACCCGCCTCCCTCCCCCACCCTGAACCATGATATTCTTAAAATAGGGCTCATCCTATTTCTCCAACTTGGCTTAAATAATATAATTCGATTGTCTGTCCGCTACAGCTCACTGTTTATTATAAAAGGTTCATTACAGTGTGCCCCCATAGTCCATCCTGCGGCTCGTTTCTGGGCCCTAGCAGCATGGTGATCACAGGCAGGGCCGGCGCTACCTGTAAGGCGGACTAGGCAGCCGCCTAGGGCACCCCTTAGGAAGGGGCGCCGCCAGGAGCGCCACCCCCCCCATGCTGCAGCCGCCCGAGCGCTCTGTAGAGCGCCTTAGGCGGCTGCAGCTTTGCCCGGGCGGTACGTCCATGAGGGCGGACCGCCCGGGCGCAGCCAGAGGAGAGGGGCTGACAGGAGGGAAAGCGCTCAGCGCTCAGCGTCACTCCCTCACTGTCACTCCCTCCTGTCACTCCCTCACTGTAGCGTGGCCGAGCCCTGTATGATCCGCGGGTACAGGTTGCATCTGTCTCCTGTACCCGGCCGGACTAAAAGGAAGTGAACACTGAGTGTTCACTTCCTTTTAGTCCGGCAGGGTACAGGAAACAAAAGCTCCCTGTACGCGCGGATCATACAGAGCTCGGCCACGCTACAATAGAGGTAGG